GGCGGCGACAGGGGCGGGGGTGCGGGCGTGCAGCAGAGGGTAGCGTCTGCGGCTGTGGCAGGGGCGGGCGGTTGTTGCTGGTGGGGCTGGGAGGCCTGGGCGCGGCGCGGGGCCGGGCTAGGCGCCCCCGGTGCAGCGGCGGCGTGGGGTCCGAAGTGTGGCGAGTTGGGCGACTTGACACCTATCTCGCTTTTGGGGTGGCTTTCGTAAAGGATGGGGTGCGTGTGCAAGGCCACTGTGTCAGCTTGCCACGTCCCTCATATACACGGCCCTCGTCTCCCGGCAGGCCCAGTGCAGCAGCCCCGAGCGGCCCAGCGGCATGGAGCGCCGCTGCTCTGCCCTGCTGTCGGGCCCGTTCCCCGCCGGCGCGCTGTACACTGGCGGCGGCGCCGTCAGCGGCAGCGGCGCAGCGGGCAGCGGCGCCTCGACCCCGCGGGACCGGGGCGGCGGCGGCGGCAACGGCGGCGGCGGCGGCGGCGGCGAGCGGGAGGAGGTGCGGATTTCGGAGCGGCCCGTCGGGCGCGACGGCAGGGTGGTCCCCGAGGTGGTGGGCGTGAACCAGGTGGTTGTGGAAGACGTGGGGGCTCTGATCTCATTCTTCAATGAGTGCTGCGAAAACAGGAGCGTCGCGAGCACGCGCATGAACGACCGCAGCAGCAGGAGCCACGCCATATACACCGTGGTGCTGCACCGGACGGTGGTGGAGGTGTCTGAGGACAGCGGGAAGGTGCGGCGCGGGGGGCGGCGCGGGCGCGCCCGGGGTCGGCAGCGCGGGCGCGTGCCGCGGCTCTCCCGAATGCGAGTGGTTTGAGATACCTCGCGGTGGCCGGCAGCGACAGCCTGTGCTCGCATCTGTCACTGCCATAACCCCTTGGGAGTTACGTCACTCACACGTGCTGTTTATGCCCCGTCCAATCGCCAACACAGGTGCGGACAACGTCTTTTGAGTCAAAGTTCCACCTCGTTGACTTGGCGGGCAGCGAGCGGGTCAAGCGCAGCGGCGTCACTGGGCAGGTGTGCAGAGCGCGCGGCGGCGGCCGCTGCGCCGGCCCGCTGCTTTGAGTCGCGCGCCGCGGCCTGGCGTCGCCGGGTCTGAGCCTCGGGCACTGGGTATGCTGCACGCACGGGGCGGCGGCTGGCCACTTGCGATCTGCCCTGTGGCCACGGCCGGCAGCTGAGCGCCTTGCTTGCCGAGGTTCCACAAACGCGGCGCCCTGCGACACTGATGGACACAGGCGTTCAAGGAGGCGACCCACATCAACAGCGGCCTGCTGGCCTTGGGAAACGTCATCGTCGCCCTGAGCGAGCCCGTCGCTGGCGGCGGCACCGGCCCCGACAACGCCACGCACACCGGCAGCAACGGCAGCGGCGCCGGCAGCGGCAGCGGCGCGCTCACCACGGGCGGCGGCGGCGGCGCGGCGCGGCGGGCGCACATCCCGTACCGAGACTCGAAGCTGACGCGGCTGCTGCAGGATAGTCTGGGCGGCAACAGCCTCACGGTGCTCATCAGCTGCATCAGCTCGTGCGAGGCCGATTTTGAGGAGACGGCCAACACCCTCAAATACGCAAACAGGTGGGCAGGGGAGGGGGAGGCGCAGGGGGCTTCCCGGCCCGCACCCACACACCTGCAGGGTGTGCGGCCGGCCCGAGGTTGCCGTCCCGCCGGGGGGGGCTCCGAAGGCCTGCGTGGCGCGTGTGTTTGCCCAGTCTGGCAGCCCAGCCTTGCGGACAGCATGCTGCACAACACTGTACATCGCTGCCTTCTTGGCTCAGCCTCTGTGGTATACACACACACACACACACACACACGCACAAGCACACGCACACACATACATATGCACGCCTACCTACATCAACTCCTTTCCCCCTGTCCCCCAAAGGGCGTGCCGCATCAAGAACACCCCGCTGCCGGCCAAGTACTCTACCCTGGAGGAGGACCTGCTGCCCATGCTGCCAGAGGGCGGCGCGGGGATGGGCATGGTGCAGATCCAGGTGGCGGCTTCACGACACACACACACACACACACACACACACACACACATGCACACGCATCCACACCTTGAATTCCGGCGACATGTGCACACGCAAAGCAGCAAGTGTCCTGGTGCGTCGCCGCCGCGTCTATGCAAAGCCCTCTACGGCAGAACGCCGCCCGTGCCCTACTGCCTGGCGGCCCACATACGGCCAGGCCGCGCCGTTGGGGACTAGCAGCGAGGCGCCAAACTCTGATCATCCAACCCCTGACTCGAAATTCGCACCCTAGGCGCTGCTGGAGGATCACGCAAAGCTGAAGGAGATGCGGGAGAAGAGGGAGGCCGATAAGGTCGCGGTCGCGGAGAAGAGGTGCGGGCCCGGCGTGGCTTGGGGTTGAGGGTGTGTTTTGGGGGGGAAGGGGGCTTGCCGCGTCCCTGGTCCCTCGGTCGGTGCTGCCGCTGGGGTCATGCGGGGCGGCTCGGGCCGGGGGCCGCACCGGATGCATACGGTATGCGCTCGCAAACGCAGCAGGCGAGCAAATCAACGGCCCATTGAGTGAGGGCAGGGAGCTTGGAGCGTGGCGGCGGTCGCTTCGGGGAAATCGCGATGCACGTCAGCGGCACCGCCCTGCGCCGCAGGCTGTCTGAGCTGCGCGCCATGAAGGAGGCCGAGTCGAAGAAGCCCGGGTTCCAGCGGCTGCGCATCATGCAGTACGACGAGCTGCGGCGCAAGCTCACCAGCAGCCAGGGCCTGACGGTCGGCAGAGAGGCGGTGAGGGCGGTGGCAGTTGATGCATGGCCCGAGAGAAAGCGCGGGGTGGCTTTTGAGTTCCCTTGGTGGGGTGGTGGCAGCTTCCTGATGGCCTGACTCGCGCTTGCTGGGTTCCAAGCAGCGTTGAGGCACCGATCTCCAGCTGTCGCTGACGTGGGTTTAAACATGAACGCCGCGGCAGGTGATCGGCGACGAGACGCTGGCGGGCTTCAGGAAGCGCGAGGAGGACGGGGGCGGCGCTGCCGACGGCGAGGGCGCCGCCAGCGGCCCGGGGTACAGCCGCCCCACGACCGCCAGCCGCGGCGCGGCGGGCGTGAGCGGCAGCGGGCGCGGCAGCCCGGTGTCGGGGGCGGGGCGGGCGGCGAGCGCGTCGCCCAGGGACGTGTACACGCCCCGCAAGTCCAGGTGGGAACGGCGCGGCGGCGCCCCGCGCCACACCAACGCAAAAACGCTAGCGCACCTGCACCTGCTTTGCATTCCTGAGGCAAATGCTCGAGGATGGAAGCTCACCCACCTTCGTCTGCCTGTTTGCTCTACGGGGAGGGTGAGTGGTCGCTACGGTCTCCGGGTGCAGGCGCTCATAACAGCCGCGGGCCGCCGGCGCCGACGCTGGGCGCCCCCTTACCCCCGCCCCGCCGCAGGCCCGCCAGCAGCAGCACTCCCGGCGGCTCGCCCGCGCGGCCGCCCGTGCTCGTCGGCCGCGCCGGCGGCCGCGCGTCGGTGGCGGAGGTGCTCATGGTGCGGCACGGCCCCGAGGCAGACTGCTTGCTCGAGGAGGGGCCCGAGGGGGACGCCCCGGAGGCAGGCGTGCAGACGGAGGGACTGTCTGGCGGCGGCGGCGCTGGTGGCACGGGCGGCGGCTGGGCGCTGGCTGCGGGCGCAGGCGCAGGCGCCGGGGAGGAGGGGCTGGCGGCCGCAAAGATCCGCTGCAAGGGTGGGTGTCTCGTGGTGTCCCGGGGATTGGGGGGGGGTAAGGTTGGCCGAGGAGAAGGCTCCCCGTCAGGGCCACCTGCTTGGCCCAAGCAGGGGTTCTGCCGAGCACTGCTCGGCAGGACGTGCGAGCGCTTACGCCTGCGGGCTGTTGCTGGCACTGGCAGCGAGCAGTGCAGTGGTGGCCCCGGCCATGGGTATGGGGCGCCTCCCAGCGCGCCTCATCAGCACCAGTCTTGCCGTTCCGCACAGTAGATCCAAATGCATGAAACCCACCGAATGCACGTCCCGCCAAAACCGCAGCTGCCAGCATCGACGAGGGCATGCAGACCTCCCCCATCGCCACCAGCGGCGGCGATTTGATAAAGGCCTGGCACAGCGGCGCCGACGCCGCCGATGAGATGCCGGACAATGCCGGGTACGAGGCGCCGGCGGCCCCCGAGGCGCCCGAGCAGCAGCGGGAGCAGCAGGAGCGGCAGCAGCAGGAGCAGCAGCAGCGGCGGCAGCAGCAGGCCGCTGCCATGGCGGACGAGGCGGATGGGCCGGATGAGGCGGCGGCGGCGGTGCAGGAGATAGCGGAAGCGGCGCCGGATCCCAAGCAGCAGCAGCAGCAGCAGCAGCAGCAGCAGGAGCAGGAGCAGGAGCAGGAGCAGGAGCAGGAGCAGGAGCAGGAGCAGGAGCAGCAGCAGGAGCATCAGCAGCAAGCAGAGGGGCCCTTCTCACCGTTTGTGCAGCTCGAGTTCAAGCCGCGGCCAAACGACGAGGGCGCCCAGCGCAGCGCAGCGGACGCGCCGGCCGCGGCCGTGGCGCCCCCGCCCGACACGGCGCCCCCCGCCCCGTCCATCCCCGCCGTCGCGCCGCCGCAGCTGCTCGCCAGGTTCCGCGTCAACCACCATGACAGCATGGCGGTGTTTACAGCGGCCACGGCGGAGGACTTCAGGGACGTGGTTGGGCTGCTGCCGGCGAACAGCGCGCTGCCCGCCAGCGACAAAATGTGCTACCTGCTCGGCCGCCTGGAGGTGGGTGGATCCAGATTTGGGAATGGAAGACGAGCAGGCGGGGATCAGAGGTCGGGGTGCAGGGACTGTCTTTTCGGCTTCTGCGCTGGGCGGGCGAGTGGTCGCGACGTTGCGGCTTGGAGCAAGGGGCGGGGCGACAGCAACGTGCATGCAAGGGTTAAGGGCCAAGGAGGCATGTAGGAAAGGGATCCAAGCGCGCACGCGCAACCGCCGCGCCCGCGCCACAGGTCAACTGCGGCGGCCCCGGCGGCCTGCAGCACGCGCTCGCGCGCGTCGCGGCCGGCGAGGCGTCCATGGGCGAGGCCGTGGGCCCCGCGGTCGGCTGCCTCATGGCGACGATGGGCACGAGCCTGATTGCGGACTGCATATTCGATTTCGAAAACCCGGAGGAGCTGGAGGGGGCGGGGCAGGAGCAGCGGCTGGAGCTCTGGGGACTGCAGGTGTGTGTGTGTGTGTAAGTGAGTGGGTTTGCGTGTGTGCGTGTGTGTGTGTGTGTGCGCGCGTGTGTGTGTGTGTGTAGGTGGAGGGTAAGGGCAGGCGGGGCTACGCGCTGGCGTAGGTGGCGCCGGGCATGCTGCAGGGAGAGGCAGGGGGTCGCCTTGTGAGGAAGGCCGTACGTGATGGCGGAGGCACACAGGAGTGTTACTTAGGCACTGATGAGTTTAAATTGGGGGGGTGTGGGTGTTTCAGCCAGCAGAGAACGTATGAGTGGGGGTGGGTAGTTTCGCGAAAAAGCGGTGCTCGCAGTCGGCGCCTGCGGACCCGCCAAGACGCAGCCGTGACGTCTCGCCCCCGCAGATCCCGCACAACCTCGCGGTGCGGCCTGCACTGGTGCCCGCAACCTTGGACGACGCCGCGGGGTCCCTCCACTCTGTGGAATCCTCCTGGTCGCCCGCTCAGCAGCAGCAACAGCAGCAACATCATCAGCAGCGGCAGCAGCGGCAGCTCATCAGCGGCATGTCGACTATCGGCAGCGGCGGCGGCGGCGGCGGCGGCGGCGGCGCGCAGCAGGACCTGCATTGGAGCAGTGCGGACCGCCTCAATGTGTCTGTCGGCCTCCTCTACGCGCTCTGCGCGGCCGCCCAGGCCGCCGGCGCGCGCGCGGGCTTCTGCGTCCCGCGCCCGCAGCTGCTCAAGCGCTGGCTGCAGGCCGGCGTGAAGATGCGTCAGGTGCAGGGGCCCGCGAAGCTGATCTACCCGCCGAGCGCGCACGACTACGTGTACTACAAGGGCAGCACCGTGGCGTTCTTTCTGGTGGAGGAGGTCAGGGCGTCGCTGGAGCAGGTGCTGTCGGTCGTGCACGAGGCGGCGTGACGGCCGTTTCCCCCCGCGTGCGGGCGGCGGCGGCGGCGGCGGCGGTTGCAGCTGCGGCGTGCAGACTAGAATAGACTTGGTTTGCGTTTTCTTCTTCTTGACGAGCATCGGTGCCGGATTTGTGCAGCAGGGGGAGGGGCGCCCGCGGGGGCGCGGCTTTGCGATGAGAGGCAGGGCTTGCATAGAGTTTGGGGGGCTTCTCCACGCGCGGGGCGTTTCGGAGACGGCAGGCGCGATCAAGGTCTGCAAGGCGCGCAGTTTGGGGCGTCAACTGTGGCCGCCACCCGGCTGCGGGCCCTGCAGCCATGTCGCCCTCGCCGGCCCTTTGTGCACGCAACCGGCAAGGGCCGCTTCGAGGCCCGGGCGCGCCGCCGCGCGCCGTTTCAAGCGCAAAGCTGCCTGCAACTTGGACTCCGTGCTGCTGCCCCGTGCTCAAAACGGGCCAAGCCTGCCTCTGGTGCTGACTTTGTATCAACGGCGCCCCCTGTCCGGCGGTGACCCGAGCGGCGGCACAGCGTGCGCCGCTCGAATGTAATTGCTATCGCAGTTCCGCCCCTCAGCGCCACCCATTTGGGCCACCAGAGCACACCGCAGCTGCAATGAAAGGATTACATAATGAAGCAACGCGCTGGTCCAAGATGGTTGGAGTCCAAGCAAGTGCTGCTGTTGAGTTGACCGTCGATCGGCCGAGCGGGCGCCAGTTGTGGAGTTTGCTTGCAGAGATACAAAGGAAAATCATAATGTCAACTTGTCAAGGGGGGGATGCAGGCAAGGGGAGCGGCACACAGAGCGCGACGTTCAGGCGGTTCTGTGGGGGCAATGCTTTGATGCATGAGCCGTGCACGAGCTTCGAATCAGCAATCAACGCCAAGATTTGAGCGAGGCGCTCGGGTGCTCTTCTCAAAAGTAACAAAGAGAGCGTCAGGTGCAAGGGGAGGCCATCTCTGATGGCGTGGCCCCGGCAATTCACTGCCAGCGCTGACGGGCCATCCTGCTTCAATCGTCAAAATATTGCGTTGCGTCGAGTCACGTGCGGCGCCGCCGCCGCGCGGCCGCCTCGGAGACCGTAGGGCTGCTCGTACGGCCGGGCGCACAAGAAACTAGAGCCGGTGCCCTGGCCGGCGCCACCGCTGCGTCAGTGAGCGCCGCCGCCGCGACCCCGCGGCCCGAGCCCTGCCGCCTGTTGCACCGCCTGCTCTGGCGCGTGTGCGATTGTGCGCCCGTCGGTCAGTCGTCCTCGCGCCCCAACAGCTGCAAGATGAACAGGAAAACGTTTATCAGGTCCACGTATATATTGAGGGCCGCCACAATGGGTTCGTCAACCGAGATGGACACTGAGTGCTCTCCAGATATCAACAGCTGCGCGGCCGAGGCGCGAGAGGGGAGAGAGGGGGGTCTGAAAAGGCTGGGCGGCGCAGGGCAGGGCCGCGCTTGCCTGCAGCTGCATGAGGCGCACACGCCGTCGCCCGGGGACCCGTGGCCGCTCGCGCTGCACCCTCCTCACAGCCTGCGTGCCCTCGCCGCCTGCACGGCCTGCGAGCTCCACGCTCCGCCGCATGCGCAGGCTGAACCCGCGCCCACAGCTGCATGTGTGACACGCTCGGGTGTACCGTGCTCCGTTTTCAACCCCCCGATCCCTAACCTTGGACCAACAACGCGGAAACTGCCTCCCCCGGCCCCCCCCACCTGGACATCGTAAACGAGGTAGCAGCAAAAAACCAGGGCGCCGCTGCCTGCTATCAGCAGGTCCAGCACTTTGAGGCGCGGCAGCAGCGCGCTGGCCAGTGTGCCAAGCAGCAGGATCCAGACGGCGCTGTAGAGCATGCCGCCAGAGGCCGTGAAGTCGTAGCGCGTCTGCATTGCGTACGCCACCTGTCGCGCGGTCAAAGGTGAAAGGAGAGTGGTTGGGTCGGGGCCGTAGCCAGAGTCGGGGGGTGTTGCTTGAGAGGCATTCGCGAGCGCTTGATGCCTAGCGCACATGCACACATATCACTCTGGGCAGGTCGGCGGCACTGCTGGCCCCTGCTTGAGCCCGTCCCCGTCTCGCCGCACAAGAGGCTCGAGCGCCCAGAGCGCCAAGGGTCCGCACCAGTGCCAGCGACACCGCCGCGGTCATCACGACCGCCATGAGCACCGTCGGCGTGCTGTATGCCGCGCAGGAGACGCCGACGAGCACGCCTTGCGCAGCAGTGAACACTCCCAGCAGCAGGATGTTGGAAGGGAACGACCGCCGCGCCGACTCGCTGCACACCAGGCAGATGAGCGTCCCGAACGTGACGATCGCCGCGAGCGGCACGGCCCACTGGTTGTGGCTGAGCCACGCGCGGCCAGGGCCAAAGGGGAAGGGCGCGGCGATCGCCGCGGTCAGCAGCAGCTGTGCACACACGATGCCGAGGACCTTCCGAAGGAACCCGTGCCGCATGGCGCGGGTAGCATACAGCAGATCTGTTCCCATTCCAAAGTCGCCGCCGTTTGGGTAGCCGCCGCCACCGAAGTAGCCGCCGCCGCCGGCGCCGCCGAAGCCCGGTGGAGGTGCTGGGCCGGCGCGGTAGTGCGGCGCGGGCGTCAGCAGCGGCGCCGTGGGGTCCGGGGAGGGGGCGGAGGCGTACTGGTAGCTGTAGGGCACGCCGCCGGGGCCGATGGCGGCCGCGCCGGGGGGCAGCGGCGGCGGGACGCCGCCCCAGCCGGGCGTGGCGCCGGTCATGGAGTGGTTTGGCTGCATCGCGGCGCGGCTGACGGGCAGGCCGGCGCCGGGGGGCGGCGGGTGGCCGGGCGAGAAGCCGGGCGGGGGCGCGCCCTGCCAGGTGGCGCCGGGCGCGATGGCGCAGGGCGCCGAGGGCGCCACATCATCGTACGCGTCCGGCTGCTTCATGCCTGCCGCTGCTGCTGACGCTGACGCGCGATGATGGTGGTGGTGCTGCTGCTGCTGCTGCTGCTGCTGGTGCTGGTTGAGGGCGCGGCGTGGGGAGGTGAAAGCTCCTGTGCTGCTGGAGTGTGCGCCACCCTGGCAGCAGCAAGGCGGGATGGGTGGCGCGGCTAATGCGCCGCTGTGGTCGTGCCGCACGATTGTGCGTGCGTGGCCGCACGCTACAGGCCAGGCGGCTGGATTCTATAACCTTTGGCTCTGAGAGCCGTTCTTGATGGCAAGGCTGAGGTTGTGAACAAGCTTGCGTGGAGCACACTGTTTAGATGTGTGATCTACTCTAGCTCTACTTTGTCTGGGTGGTGGAACGGGTCCTAGCTTTGCGTTGCACAGCGTCAAGGAAAACCACATATGAGGGGGTCTACAGGCCATTTCGGACCCAGTTTGTCTCGCAACACCTGTGCCCCTCGGGTTTCTGTTCGCATGCCGCGCCTCCTCTAAGCACCAAGACGCGGTAGACTCGGCCTTTTTGCCCTGTGCGTTCACAGCAGCCCTCTGCTGTGCTTCTGCATTCGCGCTAGTGAGGCCGCCCCGTGTGCCCTGCACTAGCACCCAGCAGCCATGGCCCCCAAGAAGACTGCCCCCAAGACTGAGGAGAACGTCACCCTCGGCCCCGCCACCCGCGAGGGCGAGCTGGTGTTCGGCGTGGCCCACATCTTTGCTAGCTTCAACGACACCTTTGTGCACATCACTGATCTGTCCGGGAAGGAGACGCTGGTGCGCGTGACTGGTGGCATGAAGGTGAAGGCCGACCGCGACGAGTCCTCGCCCTACGCTGCTATGTTGGCGGCCCAGGACGTGGCCGCGCGCTGCAAGGTGCGCGAAGAGAAAGAAATAGGGGCATTTGCATCGGATTACTGGGCTTGCGAGTGCACACCTGGCCTGCTAGGGATGAAGCGGCGGCCGGCGGCATGCTGTGTGCGCATGCTGCACGCGCGCAGTGCTGCATCGAGCGCCATCGAGCAGCAGCGATTTCAGTGCAATTTTCCTCAGCAGCTGCGGAAGCAGCATGTGGCTTCGCGATGCTGGAACTGTTGGACGGGCGATGAGATGTGCAGCCGGTGTCCCCGAGGCTGCGTTTGCAGCTAGCAGAACCGCTCAGCCAGGCTGGCCGGGGCAATCCGAGGAGCCGGCAGGCATGGCACGCAGTATCGGCAGCGGCAGTGGACGGCACCAGCGGCTGCAGCAGCGGCTGCATCAGCAGCACCAGGAGTGGCGGCGATGGAGTTTCAGGTCACATTCAATGAAGCGGCTGCTGCTGCTGCCGAAGCAGCACGCGGCCCTGTTTTCCCGCTACACCACCCATTCCCATCCCGTAATCACATCGTCCTACTGCGCAACCCGAACCGCCCAACCCCAGGAGCTGGGCATCAACGCCCTGCACATCAAGCTGCGCGCCACGGGCGGCAACAAGACCAAGACGCCCGGCCCCGGCGCGCAGAGCGCGCTGCGCGCGCTGGCGCGCGCTGGCATGAAGATCGGCCGCATTGGTGAGCGCCGCTGGGCCTGCCGTTTCAGCAGCCCCCTGGCCTGGAACTCCCCCGCTGCCCGCGAGCCTCCAGAGCTACTCTGTGGACGTCAGTCGGGGCCCTTGGTCAGCACGGCAACCAGCCTGCCGTGGTTTGGGCAAGCAGCGGCCGTTGCCGCCTCGTTTCGCCTGCGCCCCACGTCCAACGCATCACTCACCCTCCGCCCCGCTGCTGACGGCCCCTCGCCCCCAACCCGCAGAGGACGTGACCCCCATCCCCACCGACTCCACCCGCCGGAAGGGCGGTCGCCGCGGTCGCCGCCTGTAGGCGCGGCGTGCTGGCGCACGTCGCCATGGCCGCGGCGCGGGCGGTTGCGGCGGCGGCGGGCGGCTTGCGGCGGTGGCTGCAGGGCGGCCTCGGCGCTCGCCCCGCAGCGCCCGGCCGCGTGCTTGCTGTCGCCGCAGCAGGTGATGTGTGTGTTGCATCTCAGGTGTAATACAAGCTGAGCGAGCAGCGAAGAAGCTGAGCGGGCAAGGACTCAAAAGAGCAGCTATGTGGGTGTATTTCAGGAATCTCAGGCCGACGCGTCCGGAGCTGGGGAGAGAGAGCAGCAGAGCAGCTGGTGTGCTCAAAGCCGCAAGGTGGTGTTGTAGAAGTTTCATCAAGAGTCGAGATGGACACCTTCCACCGCTGACTTATCCCTTCAGAAGCGGTTGAGTGGTGAAGAGATTTGCTGTCCTGTCTCGTCATCAGGCGTGAAGGGAATCGCTGCAGACAGCCTCTGCATGTGTCCACCTTGAAAGCAAGAGAGGGGCCTTGTTACACACACGGGAGTGCAGAGGGCCGCGCAATGGAGAAGAGCACTGCCCTCTAGTGCACGCGAGAGAGCGCGCGTGCGCGAGACGGCGGAATCGGCACAATGGCGACAGCCCGGCAGGTCGGGGAAGGGTGGTGGGGGCACACAGACAGCGGCCGCGGCTGCACGGTGTACGCAGCCACGCAGGGGCCAGCAGGCACCTGCACGGCCCGCATACGCAGCGGCGGGGAGGCGGGCGCACGCCCGGCCCCCCCACCGGCTCGCCGCCTCAGCAAGGGGTGCCACGAAAGGTGCGCAACAAAAGCAACGCGCCCGTGCGAGGGCGCCACATCATCAAGTCAACAACGCCTCAGGCCCGCATCGCTGCCACACTGTTGATCGGATCATCGCATGGTGTGAGCCGCCCATGGGCGGCCCCCCGCGGTCGTTGGGTGCATCCAGGCAACAATTGATGTCGTGTGATGTCGCAAATTGAGGGGGGCGCTTGCCGGCGGCTGCCGGCGCGGAGCTGCATGATCAAAGAGGCTGGCGTTGGCAGTGCAGCCGCAGATGCAGCCGCAGGTGCGTGCGCGGGCCGTGTGCGGAAGGCCGGAGAGCAGCCTGCAGGGCGCTGGCGCGGGCCCGGCGGCGCGCGCGCGGACGTCTGGGGAGGGCGCGGCGGATGCGGATGCGAGCGCGTGCGAAGGCCGGGGCCCGCGGTGCGTGCGGTGCGGCTTCCGAGCTGACATCAGCAGCAGGCGCAAAAGAAGTGCAGAGGGCAGGGAGGCCAGAAGGGCCGACGTCAACAACAGACCAGGAAACAAATGGCGAACGAAACGGGCGGCCGACCGCCCAAGCAACCGGCGAGGTTGGCTTGGGCAGCAATGACATGAGGCGTGGGCGCCGCGGGGGGCGAGGGTGGGGCGGCTGCCCGCCGGGGTCGCCCGAGCCGGGCGCACAGGAAGGGGGCGCGCGCCGGCCAGCTTCCGCGCGCAACCGCCAGCGCAAGGGAGCAGGGGCCCCACCGGCGGCAGGCGGGCGCGTGGAGGCACGTGGCCCAGCGGCGCGGCGGCTGGCGAAGGCCGCCGCGCCGCCCGAGGCAAGGGTGAGGCTCTTGGTTGGCTTCATACACATGAGTCAGGGGGCCCGGTCTCGCATCCCACATGTTCGCCGGCGCCCACAACTCATGAACAGGATCCATCATCCAACGAGCCCGCCGGATCCGGCCCACATCTGGCCGGATCGGACCAGACCTAACCAGATCCAGATCACAGGCTCATCTCGCTGTCGTCGTCCGAGCTCGCCGCCAGCGCCGGCCCCAGCCGCGGCCCCAGCTGCCGCCCGCCCCACTCCTCCACCGCCGCGCCGACCGCGCCGACGGCGCCGCCGCCGCCCTTGGCCCTGCCGAGCGTGGGCTGCTCGCTCTTCTTGCGGCCGGACCAGTCCACGCGCTTGCGGATCGCGGCCTCAAACTTTGTGTAGTTCTCCTCGAAGGACCTGACCGGGGGCGGGCGGTGGACATCGAGTGAAAACAGTGAGAGGCGGGCGGGGGTGATGCGGTAGCATAGGAGGTGTGCGGGGGAGGGGGGGGCGATTTTGCAGGTGGGCAGGGGAGTTGGTAGTTTGAGAGCAGCGATCGGCGACGGCGCAGGGCCGGGGCGCGCCCGCGCTCCCGAGGGCGCTGCGCCGCAGGACCTGAGGCGCCCCGCGCCGCAGCCGCACCTGATGAATGACGACACCGCCTTGTCCATGTTCCCCGCCACGTGCTCCGCAGCCATCGTCATCTCCCGGCCATACTCCCCGCGCACGACCTGGCCCGCGGGGTGCGCGCGGGCGGACGTAGGGCGCGAGCGGGCGTCGGGCGGAGGGGCGGCGAGGGTTTGGCCGCAGGAAGGCGCGTGCGCTCTGGCCGGGGCGGACGTGCATGGGCGCACGTCAACGCACACGTGAAAGCATTCAGGCTCACATGTGTATGTGAGGGAATCAAGAGTGTTGCTGCGCGTCCCATCCCCGCCGCAACACACGCACAGAGACACACACACACACACACACACACACGCGCGCGCGTGCGCCCCGCCTGAACCCCCACCACCCCTTACCTTGTCCACCACCGTCTCCACGTTCTGCGCGAGCTCCTCCCCGTTGCGGCGGATGAGGTCAGCAATCTCCTTGCCGCGAGCCTCCACCTCCTCGGGCACCAGGCGCACCTATTTCGCATTGCGTGGGACGGGCAGGCGAGCGTGGGTTGGCAGGGCGCGGGGAGGGGGAG